TGGCGGTGTATGTAACAAAAATTTTAGTTGGAGTTGAGTTGTGTGTTGCTTGTGATTATTTAAAACGTGTAAATTTGTTGATTTCTCTTTATTGAGTAGTTGGGTGTTTTCTATAGTTAATGTGAAGGTGAGGAAGTATTCTGTGATTTATATTGACTACTGTATATGATATGCAGCAAAAACGTTCATAAAATGGATGATTGATATGATGGTATTTGATTGAAGTCTTAATAAATTGTAGAATTTTGATTATATTTAAAAATTAAAAAAAAAAAATTTTACAGTTTTTTTTTTTTTTATTTAAATGTAGAATACAAATAATAGTAATAATGTTAATAATAATAAAAAATAATAGTTGTATGGTTACCCTGCCATTAAAATTAATGTTATAATTAGCTTAAAATAATAAGAATACAATTTTATTAGAATTTTTATTTAAACACTTAACAAATATATATATATATTTTAAATAATATGTTTTATAATTATAATTTACTTCAACTTGATAATAAAATTTAATATGGTATAATCAGTTAGCTTATAATATTAATAGTTGATATTAAGTCTAGTTTTATTTAAATTTAAAGCTTATGAATAAAGTTATTCAAGCTTATTGCTAGAAAGAAAGTTATTGTTTAGATGAATTAGATATATTAAGATTAAAACTTATTATGTAAAAGTATTCAACTAAATTAATAGGAATATTCTTTAAAAATAATTAAAAAATTATCATCAAATATTATTCAGTTAATTTAATAGGAATATTCTTTAAATTAAAAGTTTATTACATAAAACATTTTATTGTTATTATTATTTATTTACTTTTTGACTCAAATTTACGACTTATTGTTTATAAGATAATAATATTAGAAATTTTATTATATTTTTTTAATCCTTATTATCAAAATCATTGATGTTTAATTTAACACTCATAGTAGATTTTATTTGTTTTTATTAGTGTGTTCTCGACTGTGATAAGGTTTGAGTCGCCTAATATGAATAACATCATTAGTTAATTTATTGCCCAATGTTAATTGTACTAAGTAATTAACATTATTAATTTTTGATATTATTTTAAAAGGACCTCTGAATTTAGCAGCAAGTTTTGGACTTTTATTAGCCTGTTGAAACGGAAATTTCACTAGAACTAATTGTCCAGGAGAATATCATTAAACGCGTTTTGTACAACATTATGTGAGTCGATTTTAATAAACGTGTCCTTTAAGGTATTAGTTGAACCGAAATTATGAAATGTATTTTGTACGACATTCGCTGAATTGATTTTATGAAATTCGTCTTTTACGACAATTTGTGAATTAATCATATTACGCACGTTATTATATTTATTTTTCGCGTTTTCATTTATATCAATTAGATTATCTATATTGTATTTATCTTGCGCGCTATCAATTATATTATATTTATTATTTACCCCATTATCATCATATTCTTTAAATTTATTATTTTGCGCGCTATTATCATATTTTTTTTCAAAATTATTATATTTATTCTCATTATGTGCTTTATATATATCATTTGATTCATTAATATTCTCATATAAACTATTCTTTTTATACTTGTAGTGTTCATTATTCGCGCAATATTTATTATTTTTTGGGGTATATATTATTATTTATTGTATATATATTTTCATTTTTAATATCATCAATTCTATATTCATTTAAATCATTATCATTTATATAATTAATTATATTTTTAATTAAGTCAGGGGTATTTTTATTTCCCATAATGGTATTAAGGCCTTTATACTGCCGTGCTAAGCAAAAACAGGATAACTCCAAAATTAAAAAAATTTTTTTTTTTGTTTCTATAGGTAAATTTAGTGGTTTTACACCGATTTTTGATGTAAAAGTAGCATATTTCCTATTAAAATCCATCTAAAATTGAAATATAAAATAAGAAAATATACGGTAAGTTCAATATAATTGATGTTTTGTAAACGAAAACACGGTAAATCCATATATAAAGCAAAAACTTGGTATATCACATAAAAAATAATGAAGTTACCATCTTTTGACTTATGTTCATACATTGGGAAAAAGGGGTATCTTGATTTACTGTTAAAAATGTTTTTTTGTGTTCCTGAAAAATCATGTTGACTGGAGTTATCCTGTTTTCGCTTAGCACGGCAGTATAAGTATCATTGCAATGTTTATTATAGATATTTGTCATGACAGTATTTTGTGAATGATCATTCATAATAGTGTCAATATGTGTATTACGCGTAAATAATTGGTTATAGTGCACTGTGTTTTCGTTATGTTCTATGCAATAATTAAATATTACTGCATCTACGATGTTCATGATACCTCCCTTGAGAGACAGTCACCTACTCTGTTCTCAATGCCAGGCTTATGTTTTGTCACGAAATCATAATCTAAAATTTTCAAAGTTAATCGTGTTATTCTAGCAGAAGGAATTTTTAGATTTTTATAATATATTAAGCTCATATTATCTGAATATACGGTGAACTTTCTCATCCATAAAAATTCTCTAAAATATGTTATTCCAAATACTAATTCTAATAATTCAAGAGTAGTTCTAGAATATGTTTTTTCAGAATCAAGTAGTTTACGTGATGCGTATCCTAATGGCCTAATTATATTTTTATCGTCTATTTGTTCTAAAACTGCTCCTAAACCCATTAAACTGGCATCAATCGTTAAAAATGTTTCCCTATCGTCTGAGAAGTGTGCCAACAACGGTTTAGAGGTCAATATTGTTTTCAATTGTTGAAATGCATTCTGGTGTTCAGATTTCCATGTGATTATTTTGGGTGCATTCTTTTTTATTAGTTCAAGTAGTGGAGATGCTATTTTTGAAAAATCTTTTATTAATCGTCTATAGTAACTGCACATGCCTAAAAAGCTTCGAACTTGTTTTGGAGTTTTAGGTGTTTCAAATTCAGTAACAGCTGATATATTTCGAGACAGAGGTGTTATTCCGAGCTCTGAAATGCCATGTCCTAGGAGTTCTATATTTTGTGCAAATATGTTACATTTCGATGTTTTTAATGAAAATGAATAATTATCTAATACTTTGAATACGTTTTCTAAATTTAGAAGTGCAGTTTGAAAATCTTTCTCGAAAGTAGCTATATCATCAATGAATATTACTATTGATTTATATAGATATTGGGAGAATGCTTTATTTAGTTCTCTTTGAAAAATTGCACTTGAATTACGAAAACCTTGTGGTAAACGTGTAAATGTTAATAGCCCATGAACTGTTGTAAATGCTAATTTATGTTGGTCTTGTTGCCTAACTGGAATTTGAAAAAAACCTGAGTTTAAATCAAAAGTGCTAAAATATTTTGATCCTTCTAAACTTCTGAATAAATCAGCAGTTCTAGGGAGGGGGTAATTATCAGCTTCTACCATATTATTTAAGTCCTTATAAGATACTACTAAACGGTATGAGCCTTTTTCCTTTTTTCGAACTAAAAATGCAGGAGAAGCATAACTAGATTTTGTGTGTACTACAATATTAGCTGCCATTAATTTATCTAATTGTGTTTTTAATTCCTCGCGCTGTTCAGGTGAAACTCTATGAGGAGAACAAAATTTGGGTTGTTTTGCGTTGGGCTTTAGTGTTATATGACATGGTTTTACCTTAGCTGGGTGTACTTTGCTTAAATCGGTAGTGAATAAATGTGTATAATTCTTAATCAGATTTGTTCGTGTGTTATGCTGTTCGACTGTTAAATGTGGTGATATTTTTATTTCTGTACCCTCGGAGTCATAAACGCGCTCTTTGTTACTGTCTAGAATTATGTTAACATTTAGCTTTTGAGTCTTATTTTGCGCTATATATGTTTTAATGTCTTGTTTAACTGATTCTAAAGATATAAAATTAGTAGTATGTATAATATTAGTGGGGATTTTAGAAATGCTTTTATTGTTTTTCTTTAGTATACCTGGTATCCAGTGTGTACCTTCATTTACAAGGTAAAGAACTATTAATTGCCTATCACCAGGGCCATATACATATCCTAATTTGGAATGTTTTATATAGATGTACAAATCAAAGCCATAAAAATTTGATAACGTTGCTAATTGATCGTCATGCCACCAGTAGTTAGGTAGTTCTTCCAGATCTAATAATTTACATATTTTAGCTAAATTTGTTATTTGGTTTCCATATGAGTTCAAAGAATTTATTAACGCATAAATTCCACATCGTCCGTCAGAAGGAACATCTTCCCCTAATTGATATTGTGAAAACACATTCATAAATTTTGATGTAGAAGTATCATTAATAATAGAATTAATGTTTTTCTTAAGGTTTTTTATAGAAGATTGCACGTTAGATATAATGTCATTATTGTGTTTAGGTATTGAAAGTATAGGGTAACAGATTAATATATCTATCGGTTGATTTTGGAATATTTCAAATATTATGTCTTTGATTGTGTCCCAATATAGGCCATCACAAATTAAATCTACGGAAGAAAATGCTATGAAAGGAAACTTTTGTTCTAAAGCAATATTTTTTAGATTAAAGAGACTTTCGAAGAGATCTAGGTATGAAGCCTGAGAATCGCAAAACTCTTTTGTTATTAATAAGTGTATTATTTTATCAGATATTATTGTGTTTACTTGACCTAAATATATGTTAGTATTTTTTAGCAAATCCGTTATGTTACCAAATTTATTAGTAACATTTTCAAATATTTTAGATTTATATTTTAGGTCAGTAGATGTACATAAAGCTATGGTGTAATTATTGGGAATATTCATAATATCTATAAATGTTTCTTTGATATTGTTATTTTGTTTACAACAGTTGGTGCTTTTTATATGATCCATGGTTTTTTTTATATTTTCTATTGTGTTTTTAAATTTACTACTCATTATAGGGGTTTCGATTTCGTTTAAAAATAGGACTTTTTTAGCATAATTTATATTTGCGTTATGTTGAGATAAAAATTCATTGCCTAATATAATTGTACTACTTAAATTTTCTATGACGCACACTGGTATTTGATAAAATTTATTTTCTATTTCTAATTTAATTGTGGTTGTTCCCAATAAATTTAATGGTGATTTATCTGCACCGGATAATTTATAATTGTGATTTTTATTTATATTAGATGAATCTATGAGGTCAGGTCTTATACAATTTATATTTGCACCTGAATCTATTGTGACTTCTATTGGTTCGTTATTTAATTTAGCTAAAATATATAATGCATTAGCTTTTCTATCGCGATTTAGAATTATAAAAATGTTGTTTGTGTCAGTGTTAGTACTTTTATTAGGAATTGGAGAAGAAGGTGAATGCATATAATCTCCAATTATTGCATTTGACCTTGGCGCGTGTTTTTTTGGTAGTTAGAATTTTTGTTGAGATAACAATTCTCCCTTGTATGATATCGTTTATTACATAAATCACAGATCAAGTTGCAATTTTCCGATTTGTGATTATTGCGATTACAATATATACAATTATTCTTTCGCTCATATGTATTTCTGGGACTATAATTATTATTGTAATTTCTATTAGCATATTGCGTATTATTTTGTTGATAATTATTTGCGCGAGTATCGTTATAATTTTGGCGTGAATAAAATATTGGACGTAAATAATTATTTCCCGAACGTAAATTGTTGTTGTTTCGACGCGTATTATAGTATTCTTGCCGCGTGCCATTAAATAAACGTTTGCTGTTGTCGGTGTTATCATTATTGTTTTTTGTAATAAAAAACTGAAGTTTAGAAATTTGTGAAGTTATATTATCTAACTGTTGTTGCATTTTATTTTGCTCACCGATTTGATAAATATTTTCGCTAGTTATTCGCTGTTTTATATCGTCTTTCGATTGTATAGTATCCCCTTGTAACATAAATTCAACGGATTCGTATTTTCTTATATTAGCTTTTAAATCTTTTAAACTATTGTTGTCTAATATACCGACATATCGAGCTATTTTTGGATGTAAACCTTTCATTATATTATGTACTAACTCAGATTGTGACATTTTAGGATCTACGCGCTTACATAATTTTTCAGTGTCATTAATGAAAGAGGCAATGGACTCATCTGGGAGTTGTTTACGTTTAGAGAGCATAATTCTAAGCATGTGATTTTGTGCAGTGGGTTCAAATTCAATACGCATGGCGTTTTCTAGGTCAGACCATTTTACTGAGGGGTTCTCCCTTTCATAATTTTCATAAAATATTAGAGCAGTATCGGTCAAATAAATAGCTAAGAATGACTTCTTTTGATCGGGTGACCAATTATTTATATCGCTAGCTCTCTTATACTTAGTTAAAAAGGCATCCACGCTTTCGTGAATCGCGCCAGAAAATTTGTCAGGTTGACAAAATGGAATTCGCTCGTTCATGTTTTTGGGAGGTTGATGATTAACTTCAAAATCAGATTCTATAAACTCGCCTAAAAGGAAACGTTGGAGTCTATCTTTAAGAATAGTTATTGAACCGTCGATTCTTAATTTTCTTTTAGTCAATTCTTCTACTATTGAATTATATGGGGCTTTTTTTATCCACAAAGCTAAATTTGAGTGTATTGAACAATTTTATCTGAATCTGAAGGGTTCTTCCATTTATTACATTAATTAATATANAATCTGAAGGGTTCTTCCATTTATTACATTAATTAATATAAATAAATATATGAATGTATTTTTGTAATAAATTAAATTAGAATTAATATGACACAGTTTTATAATTAAGTATTGTTAAAAAAAAAAGAAATGATAGTTATAAAAATAAAAGTTAATATTGTATTAAGTAAATTATTGGGAATAAAATTATTTTTTAACTGTTTCAGGATTTACGCATGAAATATTTTCGTCTTTAAATAAAATTTGTGAAATTTGATATGATGAATGTTTAAATAAATAATCTAGTATTAATGTGAGATGAGTTAAAATAATACTTTCTGTAATAGGAAAGATTGTGCGATTATCTATAAAGATGTTTATAAATTTTTGAATAAGTAACGTATTTTGCACGTTTATGTTAAGGCGAAGAATAGAAACCCAAAGTATATTTGCTAGATATATCATTAAATGATGATGAGTTGAAATTGTTCTGTTTTTTATTTGAAAAGTTACTATGCCGATCATATATTTTACTACCGATATAAGATTTTGTTTCGTTAAATTTAACATTTGTAATGTATATTATATTACAAAAATTAGGAACATTGAAGAAAAATATTGTAATGATCTCGGTATTTTGGAAGTAGATTCAAAGCCACGAGTTAGTCGCCACTTTGTAATAAAAAGAATATGAGAAAGGGGAAGAGAGGGATGGTAAAGATGTGGTGATGATGGTAGGAAAGGGATTATAAGTTATTTGGTTTAATTTTTAAAAATTGGTGTATTATTCCAAAAGCTACATAATCTGCTAGTTCCTTATTAATATCCAGATTAAGATAAAATATGTCGAATGAAAAAGGGATTATTAAAAAATATTATTTCTTATTAAAAAATTATGTTAATCCATTCACTTTTCAATAAGTTATATCATTATAAAGTTAAAAATGTAAAAAATTTTTTATTTATTTATTTAACTTATTTTTGGAAAATGATCCAAATAATGATAAAATAGATGTAATTATATTGACTGAAACTTGGCATAATCCTATAAATCAAAATGCTTATAATATTGAAGGATACAACTTATTCTTTTCCACTATAAAACGAAACCAAAATGATGGTATTTTTGTTTTTGTTAGATCCAATATTAATATAGTCTTTTTTGAGTATGACTTTGTTGAAACCAATATCATTAAACTTACTTTTACTAATTTAAGTATGCCTATTATATTATTATGTGTTTATAGATAACTCTCAACTGACATTAATATTTTTAATAATACGGTAAATAAAGTTATTACAGAAAATAAAAAAAAGGATTATTACACTGTGCTTATCGGGGATATGAATATAAATATAGTTGGGGACAATACACTAAATAATGATTATCTTAATTTATTATCGGGAAACGGGTTTGCGTCTTTCATAAACTTATACAGAACAGAGTGTTCAGTAAGTCAGGAAACGGGTTTCTATTGTACTCATTGTTACAAACAATGAGAACAATAGAAACCCGTTTCTATTATATATTATATTGAACACTCTGTATATTTGTTCACAATGAGGAACACTTAATTACACAGGTAAATGCAGGCATTTTACAGACAGATATAACTGATCATTTTACAACTTGCGTTTCTATACCTATAAACACCGTTTTGACTAAAAAAAGTAATTCATTTTCTTTCATTGATCATGATAAATTAAAAAAAATTTTAATTGAAGAAGAATGGTTGGAAGTATATAATAAAAATAACGCAAATCAATGTTTTTCTGAGTTTCAGAAAATCTTATCTATATAGGGGTCAATCCATACCAAATCATCCAGAGTGGTCGCGCGACCATTTTAAATTTTTTTGAAATTTCACACATGAGTTGCCTAGTATTTAAATAAAAAAAATGTCCAAAAAAAAAAAAAATTTTTAGGTGAAAGTAGATTTATGACCTGTCAAAATTTTGAAATTGCAAAATATGGGTATTTCGTAAAAATATCCCTGAAACCTATGTATTTATACTAAAGACTTGAAAATTTCATCACTTTTTCATTATGAGGTCCTCTAACATGTCCAGTAGTTAACTATAAGATTTTTTAATTTTTAATGTATTTTTTAAGTAATTTTGAAAAAGGTTTTTTTTTTTGTTTTTGTAAAAAAATGACATTTTCAAAATTAAAATTGACGATTAAATACAATTTTTTTAATCAAAATTTTTTTACATCATATTAACATTATTCAGTATTATAATTTAATTGTGTTTTGAAGTTTTTTACTTTGGTCATTTTTTAGTAGCACAAGTATAAAAAAGTTCAAATTTCTAAAATAACGATTTTTGGGCAACTTTAACTTAGGTTTTCTCCGGTGGGACTGAAAATTAAATCATAAAAATTTCACACAATATTGTTACACATGTTGACTTTCTATGGTAAAAATTTCAACTTTGGTATTTTACTGAAACCATCATAAAATTAGTTTTGAAAAATCCCTTTTTTTGAGTTTATTATGTTGTAAATTATTGAAAAACACTCAATGTTTTATCATTTTTATAACTGAGATTTTATTAATAATTAAATTGGTTTAAAAGTTTATTTCATTATTGTAAGATTTATGGCACATGGGATGTTTTATGCAATTTAGATGCGATAACATAAATTTTTCGTTACAATGTAATCCGTAATGATCTACTTTATCAAATTGCGGTAAATGTGTCAAACAGAAATATGTAGTTATATATGTTTATATTTAGATGTATTATTGTTTTTATTTGGTTTTTCTTTTTTAGCTCACTATTAGATAAGTTTCCTCTTTAAAAGGCTAGTAATGTATATAACGAATAGTTTTAAGTAGAATGTTACGTATATTATCATGTTTAGTTTGTCTCATTCAACATTTTGAATTTAATACAGCTTGATTTACCATTGTCAATTTCATAACTCTTTATTTTTATGTAATATCTTTTAACTGTTTAGTTGTAACTATATCTTTTTTATATTTCGAATAATGAATTGTTCAATAGGGACATATTTAAAAGAAAAATGCCATTTAAAAATATACCATAGCAACACAGATTCTGTGTCAGTATGTTTGAAAAATATTAATGATTTTCAATGTGATGAAAAAGAATTATTATGTCGAAGGGTACATCAAAATATTACCACCATATGTGAGTACCACATTAAAAAATATTTAACGAAATATCATCACATATTTGGACGAAAATGTTGTGATCCATTAGGAGTTCATAAACGCATTATAAAAAAAAGTTTAAGGGAAATAAGTTTAAAACATGTTTCTAAACTAAAAAAAAATGTTTCTGTTATCCCTGGTAAGTCTGTATGTCGTAATTGCTACAGCAATATTTTTGAAAAGGATAAAGTAGAAAATGACCCCGTAGAAATGTTATCTGATTCACTAAATCAAAGTTTTAATGACGATTTATTTATTTCGGAAGAAGAAAGAATTAATAAAGTTGACTCGGTCTTTAATATATTTAATATGTCACTTTTATTAAATTTAAGAAAATTAAATTCTGCTCATATTCCTAGTGCAATTCATAAAAAAGTCGAAGAAGTATCTTTAAAGTTACGTGCTGAGTTAGAAGCTATTCCTAAATTTGCATCAAGCTCTAAACTTTTTCAAACTTCTAATTTATCGGAATATGACGAATTGATTAACAAATTAAAAGAAAAGATGATTGTTTCTTCAAAAGAAGATAAAGTAAAGATTATTAGTTTATTGCCCAATTCGTGGTCACGAGATAAAATATGTAAAGAGTTTAATGTCTCCGAATATATGGTTCGAACAACTCTTGAGTTAGTTAAAAAAGAAGGAATTTTACCTCAACTCCAAAAAAAAACTGGTAATGTTATTAGTAATGAAATAGTTGAGCTCGTTTTAAAATTTTATGACGATGATGAAAATAGTAGGATCTGCCCTGGTAAAAAAGATTATGTTAATATTAAAATAAATGGTTCAAACGAGCAATATCAAAAAAGGTTATTACTTTGCAATTTAAATGAATTATACGTGAAATTTAAATTAGTGAATCCAAATTTAAAAATTGGTAGATCTAAATTTTGTGCACTTAAACCTAAGTGGGGTATATTGGCTGGATCTTCAGGCACACATAACGTGTGTGTCTGTGTTCACCATCAAAATGTAAAGCTTATGGTTGAAGGAGCTGGGCTAGAAGCTGGTTATAAATACTATCTAAATTGTTTAGTTTGTAATATTGAAAATTATAATTGTATAATGGGAGAATGTGTTATATGTTTGAATTGGAGTGACAGTTTAAAAAAAATGCTTTCTGACAAATTAGATGATGGTCCAGAAAATATTATATATAAACAATGGGTTAGTACAGATAGAGCTGATTTAGTAACTAATATTTTACCTGTTGATGATTTTATTGATTCATTAAGTGAAAAATTATGTAATTTAAAGAATCATCATTATACATCAAAAATTCAAGCTAGATATTTCAAAAATTCTAAAGAAAATTTATCAACTACAGATTGTATAGTTCTTGCCGATTTTTCAGAGAATTATAGTTTTATCATACAGGATGAAATACAAAATTATCATTGGGCTAATAAACAGGCTACCCTCCATCCTTTTGTTTATTATTACAAAGCTGATAATGAAATTAAATGCAGATGTTTATGTGTTATAAGTGACCACTTTGAACATAATACGGTAGCAGTACACGCATTTCAAAAATATTTAATAAGTGATTTAAAGACAATATGTCCTTTAACAAAAAAAATTATATATTTTAATGACGGT